GCGGGAGGCAACCAAGTGATGTGCCTCTCTCACATCGATGTTTCTCTCTCCATCCATCCATTCCACTCTCTAAAAAACAATGGGAAAATATCCTTGGGTGAGGAATAACAACAACAAAAAAGTAAGAGTATTTGCTGCACTCAAGTACCAAAAAAAACAGGATTAAAAACAAGGCCACCCAACTCTCCTTATACTATTAAACATGGAATGATAGTGGAGGGGGGTGTTCCTTAAACTTGTGCACTGCCTTTCAATTTGTAAATTACCACAAGATACAGCAACTTCACTTACAGTTTCATGAGCAAATGTGGAGACTTTATGATGAATTAATCATGGAATATAGGGAAGGGACCTTAGTAATAACCTTTGCTATACCCCTGACTTTGTGGATGAGAAAACCAATACCTAGGTAGATTGATTATACATGTTTATTTAAGGTTGGTAACCTGGGGTTACTACACCAGAAGACTTGACTTATAAAAAAATTTTTTTAAATATTATCCTTAAGTTCAGACAAACCTTTAAGGAAATCCACCAGCAACCCTTCACATAGCAAATCTGTATCTGAGTAAGAGAAACTTCTATATAACCTTTTACTCTGCTTTTTGTTTCTGAACATTAAAAGTTTTCTTGGGTTATTTTTATCTGATGTCCATTAGAGAATAAGCGAAACATTAATTTATACCTTGTTGTAGACTGCACTGATCACTTGGGGAAAAAATACAGATAAAGTATTTTAGACATAACAGTTTAAACAACATATAGGGTAGACTCCAGTACAGTGGAAAGAGTGAGGTCACTAACGTCAAACAGAATTGGATTCAAATACCAAGTATTTTTTTCTCTAAGCTCCTCACCAATTTTTGTCCAAATTCTATCAAGCTTAAATTTAGCATTTTTCCCAACGAACTGCTATGACAGTACAGTGAAGTGTCTGGTGCCCAACTGACTAAATTCAAGTTCTGACTCTGGCTCTTACTTGTATTACCCCGGGTAAGTTCTTGCCTTCTCCATGCCCGACCGAGCATCAAATCCGCAACCCACGTACATGGCATTGACCGGGATTTGAACCTGCGACCCTTCGGTGCACCGGCTGACACTCTAACCATGGAACCACACCAGCCAGGGCTTAAATTTCTTTATGTCCTAAGTACATTAAAGAAACTGAGCTACACTGAAACCAAACTGTGGTCTATAATAAAGTAGGGTTGGTATAGTCCTCACTCGATAGAGAAGGATCTGCAAGATATTATGGAAACTGATATAGCCTCATCTCAGTTATCCTCTCCTATCTTAAGGACCTAACTGTATAAATGAGTAATTCTGAAATGCAGTCAGTCTGAAGAACTTAATTTGGCAAACTTAAAGAAGAACCAGGAGGAAGGAGTTCCCCACTGCTGACCTACTAAGCCACAGGTCACCCTACATGGAATGTCCAAGGAGGTAGCTACAGTTCATACGCACTCCTGAGATAAAGACATTTGGCAAAAGGACAGAGAACTCCAGGTACTATAAGTATGGTTGTCTGGCAGGGCTTACAATTCATTTATTGCTTTTTTTCCCAAGTAGCAACTACCCTGGAATAATAATTACATTTATTATTACTCAGCATGACAGACCAAAGATGGGAGGGGTCCTGAAATCAAAAGAGGACAGCCTCACAAGTGCCTTATCCTCTGAAAAACATTCATGTTTAACCTACAGGTTAACAGTTTATTTGTAGCCTTGTAAAGGGTATGAAACATGCAGGAATTTATACACTGAAATAATTAATATCTCTCTTAATTACTGACTCTGGATACTTAAGACACACTCATCCCCTCATTTTATTCACACCACCTCTCAGAGTTAAAAATAAGGAAACCAGGGATCCAAAAGCAGTGCCCAAAGCAGACCTCCCCCAAACCACAAGGCCATGTCGGTCTTGACTAAAAAATAAAAAATTGCTTTTTAAGACTTAAAAGCAATTTAAGACTGTTGTTATCTCTAGGTGATAGGATTCTAGATTTTTATTTCTCTTTGTATTCTTCTGTGTTCTGTACACTTAGTACAACACACATTCCATTTTTAAATCAGAAACTTCTTTAGCTTAAAGCTTCTTTTGTAAACTACCTTACTGTGTTGTATGAAAACCCACTGTTCTGACACTTAGTGAACAGGATCTAGTAATAAGCAATCTTAACTATTGACAGCACTTTTAAAAAAATTGGTCTGGAAAATAATGAATGCCTACAGATTAGAGGATTTTTCCTTACAGGCATCACCCATATTTCTCAAATACTGCTTTTTAAAGGTCTTGGTTCCACTAGGTTAAAAAAGGCTATGTTGTGGTGAATTCTGGCTTAATTATCAGGTATAAAAAGAAATGTGTACAGCCCTGGCTGGGTTGCTCAGTTGGTTAGAGGATCATTCCTATGAGCCAAGATTGTGGATTCGATCCCCTGGTCAGGGCACATACACGAATCAACCAATGAATGCATAGATAAGTGGGACAACAAACTGATGTTTCTCTCTCTTCCCTCCTTTCTCTAAAATAAAAAAGAACTGTGTACAGCTTACTTTCATTGTTTCCATGCAGAAATTTTTGCTTGTCTGTAAAGTAGTCAGAAATTAAGGACTGGCCTAAGAATACTTTTCTAGTCAATAATAGTGGAGAAACCAGAACCTTCACATCCCTCCAGAGTGGAAGTCAAAGGCTGGTTTTAGTCCCACTAACTTGCTATGTGATCTTGGGCAAGTTAACCTCCCTGAACCCTAGCTTCCTGTCTATAAAATGAAGTTGGACTGGTAGGCCTAAAAAGTGCCAAGCTACTTAATATTTTATGGGCTTCCAAAAGTTATCTACTGGAATGCTGGTTCTGCCATATTCCACTTCCTTCAAAACCTGATCCCACTGCTAAAACTGAATCCTCTGGTACCACAAATCTCTCTGTTGATGGCTCTTTCTATCTCCTGTAGAAACTAGTTGATCTCTCTTGCCTCCCCTGTGTCACTTGTGAGCACTTTACCATCGAAACCACACAAACAGCACCCCACAGTACTTTGTACTACATAAGTGCTTTATTTTTAAAGGTTATGAAAAGCTTAGAAAATATGTAGAAAAAACAAACGTGAAACATTGCCACTCTCAGAACTTTTGAAATACAGTAGCCCAGAGCAATGTCTACCATGACCTCCAAGCAAGAACCACCTACTACCTTCAGACTCTGTTTCTTCTAAGAGAGCAAGAGCCTCCATCCTGGTCACCTAGATGTAGGCAATTTACCTAGATCTGGAATTCTACTACTGGCTCAGCCACTTACTCTCTGATCATGGGCATGATACCACACTCAAAGCCTCAGTTTTCTCACCCATAAAATGGGGCTAACAGTAATACTTATCGTACAGGATTACTGTGGAAGTCAAATGAGGGATTGGAGTCCCCCCCAGAATAAATCCAAAATTCCTTAATTTGGTCTTCAAACCCCTCCATGAACTGGCCACTAACCACATTTCAAGGGATTAACGCTAACCAAATCAGAGGAGAGTCTACTTTCCGTGAGCCCTCTTACTTGCCGTCTTAACCACCCGCTCACCCTAAGATCAGCCTTTCCATCACAAGAGGAAATGCTGAGGGTCGTTCAAGGGCTACCTCCGAAGCCAGCGCTCCAAAAAGCCTCGGATTTTTCCTCTTCCGTCTCTCCAAGGCCCTCTGGACCAAGCACTCGAATGCTGACAGAAATGAATTACAAAGTCAAGAGCCCTTTATTGTGGTGGGGAGAGCTGGCCAGGAAGCGGTAGCTCTCCCCCCAGGGTTAACGAATACCTACTGACAACACCTAAAATCCAATTTCATTTTAAGCCGTTTGATTTCACTTGAACCGGGACAGATTTGGCCAGAAGGGATTTGAGGAGATTTGCTGAGGTACAAGCACGAGGGTAGAAAAAGGCCCGGCCAGCTTCGCATCCCCGACTTCCCGCTCTCGTCGCTGTGAACTCCGTGAAGGAAAACTCAGGGACTCCACCTCAAAACTTTCCAAAGTTAGGCACTTTTTGAGGCTGAAGCATCTTCACCTCTCATCCTATCTCCCCGACCGTCTGGACTTCTTAAGAAATAGTGCTCGAGACGAGAACGGCAGATACCGACCAGGAAAAGCCAGCCTGCAAAAGTTTTCAACGAGGGCGCTCCGCCCGAGCTCAGGGATGCTCCCCTCGCCGCGCCCGGCGAGGAGTGTAGGAGCCGCAGTGTCAAATCGAGAGAAATGCAGGGGTCGCCAGCCCCAATCTCGTTCAGTTGGGACATTAACCGGCATTCAAGCCCCATTCTAAGTGGGCGACTCAATATACCCTCCATTCCGGAAAAGCCGGCTTCCGCACCGCCGCCCTGAGGAGAGCGGGACGCGGCTAAGCCCGCAGCTCCGGAGTTCTCTCTGGCTCTACTGCTCCGGGCCGCCTAGGCCCGGCTGTCCCACATGGCGGCCGGCGCTAGGCCGCAGACCCGGTCTCCCACACGGGGATGGGTTCGGCTCCCCGCCTCAGTCCCCAGCCCTAACGCCAGGGTTAGGCCCTCACCTCGTCTCCAGACATGGCTGCGGCTCGAGTTGGATCCGCACGGACGAGAAGTCGGACAGGTCAGCCCCAGGCCTCAGCCGCGGTAGAGATCTCACCAACACCTCTCCCACAACCGCACTAGGCTCTTGCATCAGCGAAAGGGATGATACCCCGCCCTCGACTCCCAAGCGTTGGAAATGCGCCTGCGCAGAGCCCATCACGGCGCAGGCGCGCGGAGGAGCTGTCCTAACGCGCTGTCTGGCGCGAGATACGCGGCGACGCCGCATCTCGAGGCACGCCGGGACTTGTAGTCCTCTTAGAGGAGGCGGGCATTGCGCGGCGGCCTCGCAGCGACCCCTGCGTGTGCGTGACGTCTGAGGAAGACTTCCGGGAAGGTTCGGTTTGGCTGTGGTGACTTTTCCTTCAAATCCTTTCGCGGAGTAGAGCGTCTGCTTGTACAGTGAATTCAGGGCCATTTCTCCTGGGTTAGGGTGAGGGGTAAAACAGTAATGTGGACCCGTTGGGGCTTTAATTTTCCTATTACCTGTACCGTGTCCCTTTGGGGTGTTTTAGTGTTTGAGGAATTCTAAATTGGAGCTGGAGGTACTCACCTCACGAGGGTGTTTTACTTCATGGGACATTTAACCTAACATGTTGGATTTCAACTCGGGAGGTCGCAAACCTAAGAGGAAAGACGTACCAGAGGAGAAACGGCCTGGCCAGAGGCGGACGGTCGGGAACCTCAAAACACTTGTTTATGAAGTCTCTGCTTGAACGCGCTGGGTGCATCACGAAGATCCCTTGAGGCATAGTAGCATCTACCCTTTAGGGAGCTCTCGCTGTGTTAATGCCCTCCACCAAAGACCACCGCGAACGCCCCTATAGTTGAACAAAGTTGGGCTTGTTTCCTGCAAGGGGAGACAGCATGAGGAACAGTGGGCGTCTCATAAAGAGGGTGCTGAGCACTAGCTAGATTGGCTCAGTGGTTAGAGCGTGGCCTGTGTCCCAGAGGGTCCCGGGTTTGATTCCGGTCAAGGGCTGGTACCTCGGTTGCAGGCTCTTCCCCAGGCCAGAGGCAACCAATCTATGTGTTTCTCTCACATAAATGTTTCTGTCTTTTTCTCTCTTTTCCACTCTCAATGGAAAAATATCCTCAGGTGAGGATTAACAAACAAAACTAAAAATAAAAAAGAGGGTGCTGGAAAGAATGCACAGGATTTGGCTTGTGGTAGGTAATTCCCTGTTTGGGAAATGCTGGTATGATTAGCAAATTATCTTGATCAATTTTGTGAAAAGATTTATTTTCCTTTACAGCATGGTACCAGGCATGACCTCCTTAAACCGGCTACCAGCAAGACTTTCTTCAGAGATTTCCCCAAAGGTAGTAATTTTTTCCCCAGGAAAAGCCAAAATTCCCTGGGGTATTGGCAAGTCACAAAGCAATGGAAGCTAAGCTTTTCCAGGAGATAGATCTTACTTACACTAAGCTAATAGGAACATCAACACAAATCATTTGTATTTTTCTAACCTCTTTCATCTAGGAATCTCTGCAAAACATAAGCATTTATTAATTTCTTCCCGTAATGGTGAGTTAAATCATTGTGATGTTCTTGTTTTATAGACACAGAAGCCAAGTTATGAAGTGCACAAAAATTAGTGAGAAATCCAGAAACAGACTACTGGAATCTTTACTCTGGGCCATTCTTGATGCTCAGCCCCACCCCAGATCTCCAGCTGCCCAATAGTAAGCTAAGGGTTATAATTCTTCAATTGTAAACTAACTTTTGTGTTTTCATAGTCTTTAAAATATTCCATAGTCTCTTCACTTGACCCATAACATAGCAGGCCTATAGGGGCTGTGACTTAAATAGTTATAGTACTTGAACTACAACTCAGATCTCATAAGTCTTAGTCCAGTACTCTTTCTACTTGGTAAGCAAGTATATACATCCTTGTAATTGATATTTAACTCACAGAAACCATAATTAAATAGAGATTCTAATCTGCATAGAAATCCAGACCTATTCAACCCTTTTGATCCATGAGCACCTAATTATATGAGGCCTTTAAGAGTTAGCTTTGGTGAGAGACAAAAAAAAAAAAGCAAGTCACTGAGATATTAATGAAAAGCACTGGTAACTCTGAAATTGAACTTGTCTTTGGGTTCATGTAGTAGAAAGTATAGTGAGGATCCCCCAAAGAAGTCTTGAATAGTTATCCTTTGAGAACTAAACTAGTAGGAATGAATTCTTAACTAGTCATATGTAGAAATGATTTCTGAGAAAATGTGTCACTGAGGAGATTTAGGAATCAGCATTTCTAATCAAGTTGACTAGGTTATATATATACTCTAATGAAAATACTATCTCCAAATACTGTCATTATGTCAGTGATTACCAAATCCATATTTTCAAACCAAACCTTTCAACCTCACATATTCAAGTGCCTACTTCTCTACTTACCTACATTTGCAAGTTGAGATCTCAAAGTTACTGTATTTAAAACTCTGGGTATTTCCTCTTGCAAGTCTTCTTCATCTCAAGGGCACTGCCTGCCCAATTGCTTAAGTCAGAAACCCAGGAGTTAACTTGAGTCCTTCCTTTTCCTCACCTTCATTCAGTTCATTATCAAATCTTGATTCTATGTTCAAAATAAATCTCAAATCCAACCATTTCTATCTCCAATGCCACTAGCCTAGTCCTGGTGATTTTTTCATCTCTCTCTTGGATATTATAACATTCTCTTGCCCCTTTCCTTCATTACACCACAATTAATTTATTGGTCAGTTGTTTAGTGGTGATTTTCATAATCTCACTTCACTACTAGAATGTATGTAAATTCCTTGAGGATAGGTACAAGCTGTCTTGTTCAGTCTGATATTCCCAACATGTAACAAAGCCTAGTATCATCACAGGCACTTAGATACTTGGTAAATATTTGTTGAACTACTGGGAAAAAATCCAGTAGTGCCCCAAATTTTAACATGATTGCTTACAGTAACATAGTTGAAGTTGGAGCCTTCATTTAGTCATGTATAGTAAAAATGACTGAAGCTAACATAATTAAAATTAGTTGTAATCCAATATGTCTGAAAGAATGTGTTAGAATTGAAATGTTCACCTGGAACCCAGTAAGGGAGGAATCTGCCAGGATTTGGCCATGTTTTTTCATCCAGCCGTGTTCAGGACTGAGAAATTGTAAACCCAAAGAACATTGTTAAGATATTTATTAACATAAATAATTTCTTAGGCTTCACCTGGTTCCTGAATAAAATCATCCACCTCTCTTTTTTTCTCATCATTCACCAAACAACATTTTAATTACCAACTTAGAGTCCCTGGTACCTTTATATCGGGAAGGAAATCCTCTGGACAGCAAACACAAATATATATATTTTGTTAATCTTCACCTAAGGATATTTTTTCCATTGCTTTACAGAGAACTTGGAAGGGAGGGATGGGGGAGAGAGAGAGAGAGATGACTGGTTGGCTGCCTCCTGCACATACTCCAACCGAATCTGCAACCCAGGTACATGCCCTTGATCCGGAATCAAACCCAAGACCTTTTGGTGCCAGGGTCAACTCTCTAACCATTTAGCAACACTGGCCAAGGTTCAAACACAAATATTTTAGTCACTGAAAAAATATTTTAAACTCTAGAATGTAACTCTGTGAGGGCAGGAAATGGTTAATCACAGCTGTGTCCCTAGAACCTAGAATAATGCTTAACACAAAGGTTCTTTATAGGTGTTTGATAAATGAATGTGTATTAGTAAATTAGGATTATACTTTATACCACATTCTTTTATGAATTAGATATTGTGAGTCAGTCCTCAAGTATATTTCCATGCTAGAAGCATTAGGAAAATCAGATTTCTTGTCTTATAGGCCAAATAGGAGATCCTGAACTCCAGCAGGATCTGTGAGACCCTATTTGGTTAACTAGCTGACATCCTTCTCTGATGTTACGGTCTTGGCTTTTTGTAACGTCAGTTCATTCTCCATCTGGCCTGCAGTTTCCTTTAAAAAGTCAATCATGCTGTTCCTCTGCCTAAAAATCAGTTATTTATCTGTTACTTTTAGAATAAAACTATCCACAGTCTGCCTCTCCAGCGCTTCTCAGCACTGTACTCTCTACCTTTCTTAATACTCCCCATCATATATTCTAAGTTCCAGCTACACTAAATAACTATACTAAATCTCCTGAACATGCTGGTCCCCTGGCTGAAATGTCTTTCCTTTCTCTTCCCATCTGATGAACTTCTGCCATCCTTTAAGATCCAGCTTAGATGTTACTTAAAGAAGCCTATAATTTACTTAGTTTGTGTGTGGGGGGAAAGCTAATCATTTCAACTTGTCTTCTTTCATTACTCAACTAGAGGCCTGGTGCACGAAATTCATGCGGTGGGGGGGGGGGGGGGGTTGGTCCCTCAGCCCGGTCTGCACTCTCTCCAATCTGGGACCCCTTGGGGGATGTCCAGCTGCCACAGGGATGGGGCCTAAACTGGCAGGTGGACATCCTTCTTGCAATCCGGACTGCTGGCTCCTAACCGCTTGCCTGCCTGCCTGTCTGATTGCCCCTAACCACTCTACCTACCGGCCTGATCGCCCCCTAACTGGTCCCCTGCCAGCCTGGTCACCCCTAACTGTCCAGAAGGAAGTTGGACGTCCAGAAGATGTCCGGTCGGCCCGGTCTAATTAGCATATTACCCTTTTGTTAGTATAGATTATAGCCCTTATCATATATTATAGCTACCTTTGAGATCCTGGAGGGCAGAATTCTGTGCCTTACTCATCTTTCTTTGCTTCCCTAGTGCCTAGCACATGTTTGTGAATGTAAGAACCCATATGGGTGATAGATGAAAGCTAAATACTAACTTGTAACAGCCTTATCTTCTTAAATGTAGCCTCCTTCCCAAGGGAGAATGGCAAACTTCCTAGCTATATTCCATTTGAAAAAATTGGGCATGAATATAGTCTGGAAAAAATGTGCTTTACATACTCCTTTTATGATTCACTGTAAAATGAGGTGATAATAGTATTATTGATAGATTAGTAGACTCTTAGGAAGCAGTGATTCAATTTTGAGGACATTATACTAAGTGAAATAAGACAGTCACAAAAAGACAACTTCATGTATGATTTCACTTATATGAGGTATCTATAGTAATCATTCTCATAGAAACAGAAAGTAGAAGGGTGGTTGCCAGAGTTGGGGGGAGAAGAGGATGGGCAGTTAGTGTTTAATGAGTATAGAGCTTTAGTTTTGCAAAAAGATAAAGTTTTGGAGAGTGGTTGCATGAATAATATAGATGTACTTAACACTACTGAACTGTACGCTTAAAAATGGTAAAATTGCTCGACTGGTGTGGCTCAGTGGTTGAGCATGGACCTATGAACCAGGAGGTCACAGTTTGATTCCCAGTCAGGGCACACGCCCAGGTTGCAGGCTCGCTCCCCAGTAGGGGGCATGCAGGAGGCAGCTGATCAATGGTTCTCTTGTTTTTATTTTTCCAATTTTTTATTCTAATGGCCAACATGCAGACAATCCACTTCAAAGTGCCTCCACTGCCATGTGTGCAAACTGAGGCTCAGCCTTCTTGGCTTGGCCAGAAGCCCTCAGAGCCTAGAGCACTGGCACATTGCTTTACGAATGACAAAAGGAATATAATTGTGTTCACCAAAATAAAGCGCTATCTACACTGCCAGCCAGATTAGCTAGATGCATGAAGCTGCAGTGAAATCAATAACCAAAAAATACTAAGACTTGTTAAGGAGCCTTTACAAAACAGGCTCCCTGGGAGAACCCAGTAGGCTAACTACCCAGGCTTGAAAGTGAAGAAACAAAATCACACTGGAAATAAATCAATATGGAAATTTTCTCTGAGAACAACTAGGAGAGTTTTGGTCCAGAGATATCTGAAGGCAGTCAAATATGTGGCGGGGGGGTCTCTATGCACCCCAACAAGATCAATGATTCTCTCTAATCATTGATGTTTCTATCTCCCTCTCCCTTCCTCTCTGAAATAAATAAAAAAATTTTTTTAAAAATGGTTAAGATGGTAACTTTCATGTCATATGTTTTTACCACAATAAAAAAGTTAATGTGTAAAAAGGGGGGGGGGCGGGGAGAGAAAAAAAAGAGATTCAGCACACCGTGTACATACTCAGTACCTTGGATTGTTACTACTCATTGCCCATCTTTCTGCCTTGCTCTTGAGAGACTTGGTAACCCCCAATCTCAGCACAGTGTTTAGAATTTATTAGGAGCCCCATAAATGTTGAAAGAATGCATTGACTAATACTTGAAATAAAAAAATTAATTTCCTCCTCTTCTTTTGGATAATTTAAACCAGTGATGGCGAACCTTTTGAGCTCGGCGTGTCAGCATTTTGAAAAACCCTAACTTAACTCTGGTGCCGTGTCACATATAGAAATTTTTTGATATTTGCAACCATAGTAAAACAAAGACTTATATTTTTGATATTTATTTTATATATTTAAATGCCATTTAACAAAGAAAAATCAACCAAAAAAATGAGTTCGCGTGTCACCTCTGACACGCGTGTCATAGGTTCACCATCACTGATTTAAACCCTTTCTTTTAAAATTGCTCTTTAAGGCCTTTTCTAATTAGCCAGCCTACTATAATTTTATCCTTCTCTGTCTTCATGTAATACTTATCATTTTGACTATGTTATCTTGCATCATTATTTATTTTTAAATGCATGTATCCTTTCTTTTCAGCTAGATTATAAAATCCTTGAAGGCAAGGACTGTGTACTGTTGCCTCCTACAGTGTATTATTAAATCTAGTAGCATCTTAATGCTTTAAACTGTTGGTGATGTTACCCAGGTTTACTTAGTGTTTTGGCATCTCTACAGAAGACTTCAAAACTCTTAAGAAAACCACAATGAGATACTGCCCTTCACATCCATTAGGAGGGCTATTAGAACAAAAACATAAAGTAGGAAATGATAAGTGCTAGCAAGAATGTGGAGAAATTAGAATCCTTGTGCACTGTTGGTGGAAGTGTAAAATGGTGCAGCCACTATGTATGGCTGATCCTCCTAACAGTATGGTGGTTCCTCAAAAAGTTAAAAATAGAATTACCATATGAATTAGCAATTCCAATTCTAAGTATATATCCAAAAGAATTGAAATCAGGGTCTTTAAGGGATATTTGTACACCCATGTTCATAGCAGCATTATTCACAGTAGCCAAGAGGTAGAAGCAACTCATATTTGGTCATAGATGAATACTTCTATGTTATGTGTATTTAACCAAAATCTTGTTTTTAAAAGCACTGAATGGGGAGTCAAAAGATCAAGGTGGAGTTCTTGGTTGTTTCTTGATGACTGATGAATCTTGACCAAGTCACTCTTTTTTTTTCTTCTCATGCCTTAGTTTCTTTATCTTTAAACAGAATAATAAAGCCTGTCCAGCTTCTGGGTTTTTTTGTGTGTGTGAGCTTCGAATAGAAGAGATAGCAACAATCAAAAACTTTTAAGATAATTTTTTTGAATATTGTTTTTCCAGTATTCCAGTGACTCTGATATTTTTTAATATTCATTATAAGTTTCGCGTCTTATTTTGTAACAGAATACTTTTAAAGATGTCTCAGCAATAACTTGTTACCACTTCAAAGGACATATGTATGCTGAACTCTTTCAATTTGAACTGCTCACCTTATAATTTGGTCCCAAGAAAGCAGCAAGTAAACACCCTTTTTGAGGACTATTGATGACCTAAGATGGTAATTACTAATGTGGTTTAGCATTAATTGAGGAAATACAAGCTCAGGATTTTCATGTGAGCATAAGAAAACTGATCCCAACTTGTTAGAATAAGGGGAAGAATTAATATCTGCTGAGTATGTACTAAGAGTCAGGCCCGACAGCAGATGTGTTGCATGCATTACCTCATTTAATCCTCACAACAGTCTTGTCAGGTTAATAATATTATACTCATTTTATAAACAGGAATTTGAAGCTCAGAGAGGTGAAGTCACCCAGGATCACACAATGAATGACGGAGATGGAATTCAAGTCCAGGTCTGTGTGACTCTGAAGCTCATACTCTTTCTATTCTCTTACACTGCCTCTCAAAATATATTTGACTCTGCCTATTGTAATAGAGTTAATGATAAATGATATATATTGATGTATATTAGTACATTTATATCAATTATCTTACTTGGTCATTACAAATAAGATAGGCTGTGTAGGGATGATTACCACCATGTTAATAATGAAGAAACATAAAGTCAGAAAATTTAACTTACCTAACATCAACCAACCAAGAAATGATAATAGTAGGACTTGAAAACAGGTACTGGAATTCCCTGACCTAGGCTGTTTCCACATAAGCCTCATGAAAGTGGAATTTTACCTCTGAACTTTCTGGTTCTGACACTTTTTTTTTTTTTTTATCTTCACCAGAGGATATTTTTCCATTGATTTTTAGAGAGAGGGAAAGACAGAGAGAAATATCGATGTGAGAAAAACACATCAATTGGTTCAGTCATTCAACCCCAAACATGGACTTGACTTTTGTTGTTTCAGGTTTTTCAAAATGGAAATTTATATTATTTTTCTGGCATAAAGGAAATAAATAAATCTTCATTAAAAATGAAACAATGCAGAAATAAAAAATGCAAACCATCTAAAAGTTTTTAAAATATATTTTTATTGATTTCAGAGAGGAAGGGAGGGAGAGAGAAATAGAAACATCAATGATGAGAATCATTCGTCAGCTGCCCCCTGCTGGGGATTGAGCCCACAACTAAGGCATGTGCCCTTGACTGAACTCGAACCTGGAACCCTTCAGTCCACAGGGCAATGCTCTATTCACTGAGCTAGAAAGGATATAGCCAGAAATTTTTATTAGGCATATGCAAATACACACATGTTTTTACAAGACTGAAGAACTTAGCCGAAATGTCCTACTTCTGCAGAGAAGGTAAGTTTAGCAGAGAGAGAAAAGATGGGGCAAGGTGTAACCAGGAAGTCTAATGGAAGAGTGCTGGGGAGCGAAATTCCTCTTTTAGTGAGGTTGAAGGAAAGGGGTAGAACAGATAGAAAGAGTTTAGGGGAGTTAACTACTAGAGGGTTCTGTTTTGTTCTTTTTAAAAATATATATATTTTGCCCTGACCAGTTTGGCTCAGTGGATAGAGCGTCGGCCTGCGGACTGAAGGGTCCCAGGTTCGATTCTGGTCAAGGGCATGTACCTTGGTTGCGGGCACATCCCTAGGAGGGGGTGTGCAGGAGGCAGCTGATCGATGTTTCTCTCTCATCGATGTTTCTAACACTCTATCCTTCTCCCTTCCTCTCTGTAAAAAAATCAATAAAAATATATATTTTTTATTTATATTTATATATATTTATATATAAATATTTATATATATATTTATATATATTTATATATATTTATAAAATTATAAAATTTATAAAAATTAATAAAATATATTTATATATATATATTTATATTTATATATATATATCCACCGAGCCAAACCAGCTAGGGCTGTTTTGTTCTTAAAAGTAGGAGGCAGCCCGGCCAGCGTGGCTCAGTGGTTGGGCATTGACCTATATATATTTTTAAAAGTAGGAGTCAGCCCTAGCTGGTTCTGCTCAGTGGTTAGAGCCTTGACCTCTGGACCGAAGGGTCTCAGGTTCAATTCCCAGTCAAGGGCACACATCTGGGTTGCAGGTTTTTCCCCTGCCCTCAGTAAGGCCCTGTGCAGGAGGCAGCCAGTTGATGTATCTCTTACATCAATGTTCCTCTCTCTTTCCCACTCCCTCCTTCCCTCCCTGTCACTCTCTCTGAAAAAGTAATGGAAAAAATGTCCTCTGGTGAGGACTAACCAAAAGGTTAAAAAAAGTAGGCAGATTGGGTGGGCAGGGTGCATGAAGAGAAAGGGAAAGGTGATATGAGGCATAACTACTCATATTCAAAATGATGCACTCTGATCTTCTGAAGATTTTATCTGCTGAAGCCTTTAAATCAGAGTTGAAAAATTGGAGAAAATATATCCTAGTAGTCCTTTTCTTTTGTAAAAAAACATGTGCTCAGACTCTGGATGGACCCGTCTTAGATTCTGGGCATGGGATTTTCTCGGTAGGGGGAAACTGAATAAGGTGGTATATCGGAGGGCAAAATGTGAAGAGGGCACAAGAGCAGGTGTTACATATTTCAGAAATACAGAGAAGGTAATTAAAATAGCCAAAACTTCTGTGTTTTCCTCAAATCCCGATTTGAACCTCACTATGTATAGTGGCAGTGAATTAAATGTAATCTAAATATGTTCATTGACATATTTCTTGGAAATTTAATTACCTCTGGAGAGATCTACAGTGAACATATTCAGTCATTTTGGAAGGCAGTGGTGATTTCTCCAGGGGTGTTATTTTAAAATCAAAACAAGCCTGGCCAGTGTGGCTCAGTGGTAGAGCATTGACCTATGAACCAGGGGGTCACGGTTCAATTCCCAATCAGGGCACTTGCCCATGTTGCAGGCTGGATCCCAGTAGGGGGTGTGCAAGATGCTCCCACAGCATTGATGTTTCTATCTCCTCCCTCTTTGGAATCAATGAAAACATTTTTTTAAAGTTTAATAACAAGCAACTATCTATAATGAAGAACATCTCCATTTCAAACTATCACTTGAAATGAAAACTGAGTATTTCTCAGAGTGTGGTCTGAAGAACAATTGCATGTGGGAGTTGAGATGTTAGGGGTTAGGTACAGGTGAGGATGGAGGAGTTTGTTAACATTGTAGTTTCTTGGATCCCATGTCTCTGGGGTGGTACCTGAAATCTAAATACTTTACAGATGCCCTGGCCTATGTGCTCACTGGTTAGGGTCACAGGTTTGATTCTAAGTCAAGGGCACATACCTGGGTTACAGGTTTGATCCCCTACCCTGGTCGGGGTACATGCAGGGGGCAACCAATCAATGTGTCTCTCTCACATCGATGTTTCTCTCTGTCTTTCCCCCTCCCTTCCACTCTCTCTACAAAATCAATGGAAAAAATATCCTCTGGTGAGGATTAACAACAACAACAACAACAAAAATCAATGAAAAATATACCCTTGGGTAAGGATTAACAACAAAAATAAATAAAGAAATACTTTACAGATGTTCCAGGTGGGTTTTTAAAAGCTTTTATTACAAAAAATATCAATGCTATACAAAAAATAGAGAAACTAGTGTCATGAATCTCACCATATCCATCACACAGCTTTAACACCTCATGTTCTCTTCTGTATCTACTATAGCCTGTGCCACTGAATTATTATTAAATCAGTTCTATTATATATTATTATTTATCATTGTTTCATCTGTAAATATTTTGGTATTTATCACTAAGTGATAAAAAACATAATCACAAACCATTATCATGCTAAATAAATTCTTGGTTACACAAAAGATCTGTCTACTTTAATCATTGAAAAATTATGAGGTTTTCAACAAAATGGACAACCTAGATGAAATGGATATATCTTAGAAAAATACAAGCTCTCAAAACTCAACCAAGAAGAGTCAAAAAACCTGAATAGGTCAATAACTACTGAAGAAATTGAAACAGCAATCAAAAATCTTCCAGCAAACAAAAGCCCTGGTCCAGATGGCTTTACAGGGAAGTTCTACCAAGCATTCAAAGAAGAACTAAAACCTATCCTCCTCAGACTATTCCAAAAAATTCAAGAGGAAGGCACACTTCCAGATTCTTTCTATGAAGCCAGCATTACCCTAATCCCAAAATCAGGTAAAGATACCACAAAAAAAGAGAACTACAGGCCAATATCCTTGATGAACTTAGATGCTAAAATCCTCAACAAAATCCTAGCAAATTGGATTCAGCAATACATTAGAAAGATCATACACCATGACCAAGTGGGATATATTCCAGGGATGCAAGGATGGTTCAATATCCGCAAATCAATAAATGTGGTACATCACATAAACAAACTGAGAGACAGAAATCACATAATCATATCAATTGATGCAGAAAAAGCATTTGACAAAATCCAACACCCTTTCTTGATAAAAACTCTCAGCAAAGTGGGAATAGAGGGATCATACCTCAACATAATAAAAGCCCTATATGACAAACCTACAGCCAACATCATACTCAATGGGCAAAAATTAAATCCATTTCCCCTAAGAACAGGAACAAGACAAGGATGCCCATTTTCACCACTCCTGTTCGACATAGTGCTAGAAGTACTAGCCATAGTGACTAGACAAGAAGAAAAAATAAAAGGCATCCAAATTGGAAAAGAAGTAAAATGGTCCTTATTTGCAGATAACATGATATTATACATAGAAAGCCCCAAAGACTCCATCAAAAAACTACTAGACCTAATAAATGAATTTGGCAATGTAGCAGGATACAAAATTAACACCCAGAAATCTATGGCCTTTTTATACACCAATAATGAACTCACAGAAAGAGAAATGAAAAAAACAATCCCATTTACCATTGCACACAAAAAATTAAGATACCTAGGAATAAACTTAACCAGGGACGTAAAAGATCTGTACTCAGAAAATTACAGGACATTGAAAAAAGAGATAGAGGAAGACATAAACAGATAGAAGAACATACCATCTTCATGGATTGGTAGAATCAACATCATTAAAATGTCCATACTACCTAAAGCAATCTATAGATTCAGTGCAATACCTATTAAAATACCAATGGCCTATTTCAAAGATCTAGAACAAACTCTCCAAAAGTTCATCTGGAATAAAAAAAGACCTCAAATAGGCACAGCTATCCTGAGAAAGAAGAAAAAAGTTGGAGGGATCACAATACCAGATGTCAAACTATATTACCAAGCCACGGTTCTCAAAACTGCCTGGTACTGGCACAAGAACAGACATATAGATCAATGGAACAGAATAGGGGACCCAGAAATTGACTCAAGCCATTATACTCAATTAATATTCGACAGAGGAGGCAAGGTCATAGAATAAATGCCTCTTTAATAAATGGTGCTGGGAAATTTGGTCAGATACTTGCAAAAAAAAAATGAAACTAGATCA